AGTTGGATATACATTAGCCTAACATGTAGATTATAAGAAAAAAATATTTCCTAAATCCCAGTTGCACGCATATCTACATTGCCTTCCTGTGACACTATATTTTAAAATGTTTTATTTATTTATTCATGAGAGTCAGAGAGAGAGAGAGAGAGAGACAGAGGCAGAGGGAGAAGCAGGCTCCCCACCTAGCAGGGAGCCCGATGTGGGACTCGATCCAGGACCCTGGGATCATGACCTGAGCCGAAGGCAGACGCTTAACCATCTGAACCACCCAGGCGCCCAATGACACTATATTTTAAACAAATAAAGAAACTCAAAGAAAAATATTCAAAGAATTCCACCCAATACAAACTTCCATCTACAAAGGAGAAAAAAAAGGTAACAGTAAATGAGAGATACTCTATTTTTTTAGGCTTGAATGTGGTTTCTTTTAGGACTTAGGAAAATGTGTTAATTTGTATGAGTACATTGTGTGATACAAATTCAGAGCACCTAAAGAAATTCTGGGTTTTCTTTTAAAAAGCACTTGTCACTTACAATCATATTTATGGGCAGAGTTGCTTGTGTCCAGCAATTACAGGAAAAGACTATTGAGATAGGCTTATCTTTCAACTATATAAATATTTCCTACTGACCTAGCAATAACTTTACCTAATAGCTCACTAACCCCCCTGTAAAGTCAATGCCTTCTAGAGTTTGCTTCATGACCAAAGTTAGTGCTATCTATAAAGTGGGGTTCTAGGCTGAGAAAGTAGAACATATAACATATAACATGTGCATACCTGAGCATTATCACATCACTATAAAATATGAGGCTCATTCTTTTATTTGTCATCATGAAATTACAGAAAACATTTTGTTGATTTCATATAAATGAACACACACATACCTTACAGGGTGTCTAGAAATTTGAAAATACAGGGCCAATTATTTCATTTTTTATTATAGAGCTATTCATATGTGACTATATAGTTTATCACCCAAACTGGGTCATTTTGAATACAAGGGAGAGGTAACTGCCTAGGACCCTAAGATAGATTGTATGGTTACCAAACTCATGTAAGAAGTCAGCCTCCAAAGATGCATTTACATATCAACTGAAAGAACTATGACATAATGGAGATTAAGTCAACACATGTTAAATAAAATGAAAAAAAAAGTATGATAAATAGTACTCTGTGCTTCTAAGTATCTTGCATGTAAATACGTAATTTCTACGTCACATAGAGTCTTATTCCATGATGTATCCTTTGACATTGCTCAGAATAGCTAGAATATTTGTAAAAATAAAGCACACATGGCAATCATGAGATTGTGCCTTAGACCTTGGACTGCATTTGCATGAAGGCCACAGGCTGCTTGCAGCCAATGACTGAGCACAACAGGAATACTAGAGTAAGGCCATTTCTAAGAAACATAGGTCTTCTCTGATGGAGACTGTGCCTCTGGGACTCTCCAACTGAACTTTCTTTAGAAAGGCAGGGCAGTCTTAGAGATTCACCGAACCTTTTTTCCTTCGCTCTCTCCCACACTGGGGGTCAGTCTTACACTGGGGTCTGAAGGCTCTTCCAGGCTCCCCCAACACCCTCCCCATTTTTGCTTATAACAGGCATTTCCCCGAATCAATTTCTTATACATTTAATCTGTTCTTGGTATCTCCCTCTCACAGGACCCAGACTAAGCACAGATGTTTATTGACCTAAATCTAGTTTATATGTATTCTAAATACAAAGAATATTTTAAAACTGAGGGCACTTGAATCAGTCACATTTACACACTGAAACTCTACTATATGTGGTAAACCCAGAGAAATATGTATACTCTCCCTATAGAATTAAGCCAATTCAAATTGGAAAAGTTAACAGCATTTAATAAGACTTCAGTGTTCAGCCTGAATGTATTTCAACATGGCAGAGAAAACCAAAGCTATTCTCATACTAGAGACTGATATCTCCTAGCCTCACCTATAAAAGGAGGTGTTCTGATGATACATGTGACAACTTCTACATCTAAAATTCTATGGTTTCCTAAAATTACTTATGAATCAATTTGTTTTTATTTTTTAAGATTCTCTATCTACTGTTGTGGGTGCATGGTGCTTTGCATTTGGTAAGTATCTCTTTAACGGAATCTTTAACAGAATTTCAGGGTAGAAAGGGTTCTAAAGTGACTTAATCCACCCTAGGAGATGACATGCATCAGGTTCATTTGACCTAAAGTCAGAAAAAAGCTGTACAGTGCAAGCTGCTCAGGCATTTTTCTAACAGCCCACGTAAGAATAAACATTTTTAATGCTGTAAGAAGCAGCTGTGGCCTCTCACCTCTTAAAATCGGTTCACTGCCTTGTTATTTTATTAAAAACACTTAAGAGTGTTGTGAAAATTCGAATTACCTTGTTTTGATTATTTCTGATGTTGACAATATACATTTTTTCCTCTTGGGTTAGATGGGCAAACACACTGTCCATTCCAAGCAAGTTAATAGAAAATATATTTTAAATATCCATTAAAGTATTTAAGGTTCTATAAATGGTAACAATGACTACATGAGGTCAAGTTAGCTAACTTAACCAAAGAAGGAAGTCATTTGGAAATCATGCTGAAGTTAGGGCAGGCTGGTGGAGTGGAGAAGTACTGGATTAAGAGACAGCCGTGCATGTTTCATTTCAGATTCAGCTTTTAATAAACTAACTGTGTGACCCCTGAAATGCTACCTACCCTCTCAGGATTTCTGCTTCTCCAGCTGTGAAATAAGAGGGTTGGACAAGATGGCTTATGAAGTCCTCCACAGCTGCTTTAGTCCCATGGATTCTGTGTGCACTTTTCTATCACACACGATGACTAACATCAAACTACAGACTCAACCAAAACTGAGAGCTTCTTAGTATTAGAGGAAGAAACCCCAAATGTGAACGATCTGACAAGAAGAAAAACATCTAGTTCTCTTCTCATTTTTATTTTTTTAGGATTTTATTTATTCATTTGAGACACAGAGATACAGAGAGAGAGCATGAGCAGGGGAGAGGCAGAAGGAGAGGGAGAAGCAGGCTCCCCGCCGAGCCAGGAGCCAGAAACGGGGCTTGATCCCAGGACTCTGGGATCATGACCTGAGCCAAAGGCAGACACTTAACCACCCAGGCGACACTCTCTTCTCATTTTTAAAGCATTTGTCGTAACCAGATGCAGTATGAAAGGGAACCAGGATAGGGGAGCCTGAGCGGCTCAGTCAGTTAAGCCTCCGACTCTTGGTTTCGGCTCAGGTCCTGATCTCAGGGTCGTGAGTCCCACGTCTGGCTCCGCACTCCGCTCGGAGTCTGCTTGAGATTCTCTCTTTGCCCCTCTCCCTACTCTCAATCTCTCTCTAAAAATAAAGTCCAAAAAAAAAAGAAAAGAAAAGAAAAGAAAGGAAACCAGGATAATTTAAGGAAAAGCAACTTCCAAGCAAACATTCCACTGACAGGCCCTCTTACTGCCTTCTACACAGCCACTGAGGACTGAAGGATAAAAGCTATTCTTGTTCCCTTCAGTCTGTTGGACAGAGAGAAGCAGAGCTAAGTGTCAAAGTGTTTCCTGCTCTGATGACAGATGGCCAGGCTTGATGTAGAAGGGCTAAAAGAGACCATATCCCACAGAAGGGCAAAAAAAAAAGTGCTCCTGGCTCTCACCATCTCTCTTAACCGTCAAAGCCCTTCACCCACAGAACCCAACATGAATTCCAAACTTTGACCTCAGTTAGCAACTGGCCATTCCCATGAAACACAACTTTCCCTTGTCAGCTGAAATTCCATCCAAAGCTATTTCCTATTCCAAGGTAATGACGTTGTAAGCACATTGTAAGTCATTCTTTCCAAGTAAGTAAATTTGAAAACTGTAACAGTAGGGTTCCAAAAAAGGCAGTTTCTACCACATTTATGTACCCCAGTTGAGAATTTGTTCATACTCAGCCTTAAGAATGAGGTTCATTCTTTTAAATCTATTCAAGGGGTCTCTGGGCCAGATAGCCTTAATTAAGTGAAAAATAAGTGTAGTTACTAAAGGAAAAGACAACAGGTAAAAAGAATAATCCCTCTAGGCAAATATGACATTGGGAAACAACCACTATTTATAATAGAATTTGCCACAGGCAGATAGCATCTTATAACTCAGACTTTGAAAACGCATTTGCAAATTTTCACATCAATATTTACATGAAAATTTACCAGTAAGACATGACACTTGGCACAATGCCTTACTTTGGAAAAAATTTTCTACTAAACAAAGATAACATAGATTTCACTTTAAAGCTTAATACTATAAACTTTTTTAAAAATCATTTCCAACCTTCTGCCAAATCAGTATTAGTACGTGCATGACTAAGAGAAGCTCAGTCTTCCTAAGACTTGAACTTAAGCAGCCTAACTCATTAGTAGTAGCATTCAGTATTGAAATAACCAGGAAGAAGGTTATGGCAGCCTTGAAGAATTACTTTCACAGATAAAGGTGCCTCAGTTTATGCAGGAATAGCAAAAGAGTAGTAGGGGAAACACAATCTAGGAAAGGAACTCCATTGTCCAGCAGCAGCTGGTGTTGCCGTGTTAATAGCTTTGCAAGACACTAAAACATAATTCTTGTTGGTGAAGATTATAGTGATAACACACATTGCAACAACTGATTTTTTCAATTGTATGACGTGGAAACTCTTCACTTCTTTCAAAGCATCAGATGGATTTTAAAATGTTCCTAATGGCCATAAGTAATAAGCAACAACTACAGTGGTCAGAGGACTTGTAACATCTTTCACTGGCAAAACAAATTATTTTCAAAGGTATTTTTGGTATATACCTAAAAAATATTTACTATAAAGGATAAACTACAAATATTTTTGTAAGTCAAAGAAAAATGCACAAATATTCTTCGGAAGCCTGTTACAATGATTTAAAATACTACTCTGTCGCACAGAAAAAATGAGATATAGGCTTACAGTTACATAAGAATTATATAAAGTAACTTGGCAGATCCTACCTTTTTTAGGAACCGGACTCCATAGGTAAATACATAAAGGGAAAATGAAAATCTCCACCTGTAGAAGTTTAAAAAAACATTCTATGACATCCAGTTTATGTATTCACAGCATAGTATTCTGAAACATGTGAGTGAAAAGAAGTCCATTAAATTTGCCAACCCCCCCACCCCCCACCCCGGGCCCCACCACTCCAACCAGGGATTAAGTTTAATGGGCAATTTCAGTGTTAGCTAAACACATGGGCATGGTTTATTGCAAAATCTTAAATATTAATAATTCATAACAAATTTTCTTCCAGTTACTGTATTTGCCCATCTGTTCATCTTCTCTCTCCAACATATGCATTTCCTCTTATTAATCGCTCATGAAGGAATACAGTTCAACAATACAAAGGTACATAAGATTGTTTTGAATTCCTTGTCTAATTCAGATATTAAGTAAATAAGTTAACTGAAGTTCATACTTGTTTAAAAAATAAAAGCCTTAGTATTTTTAAGTCAGGTAAGATTTTTTCCTTCATCTTTTAACAAATACTTATTGACATCTTTGTGGATGTTGCTAAAGGAACCCACTTGGAATCTAAGTCATCCACCTGATATTCGACTGTTAATGACAACCTTACACCACCCCAAACCGTACATCTAGCTGTTAGTTAGACTTTCATTTTTTTAGTGAGGAAAAACATTTTTGGTTCTCTTTCAATTTTCAATGATTCAATGTTTAAGTCTTAAAATATAAGACTTTATGTGGACAGTGGTGATGTTTGCAGGAGGAAAAAAAAGTTGAAGCCCTACTTTTTACCCTAAAGATGAACCGCACTTAGATATAGGACCTAAATTTGAAAGGTGAAACTGTAAAGCTAACAGAGGAAATTGTTGGAAGAGATCTTTGCAATTTGGGGATAGCCAAAAACTTCAAAATGAGACCTTCAAGACCTCAACTTAGGAAGAAAATTCATGCATTTGATATCAAAATTAAAGATTTTGTAAAATGGCCTTCATAGATAATAAACAGATAATAGATTAGATTTTTTTTTACAGTATCAAAAATTACTGGGACAATGGAACACATTAAATATGAATCTTAAATTAGACATCAGTGTTATTTAAATGTTAAATTTATTGAGTGGGGGAACTGTATTACAGTCTATGTAGGAGAATGTCCTTGTTTTTAGGGGATTTACAGTGAAATATTTAGTGGTGAAGTACCTGAAACTTTAAAAATATATACATAAGACTTTGTATAAAGACTTTATATAAATTACATATTATATGTATATATGGTTTACCCTAGTACTCAATTCCCAATTTTACTTCTTATATTTTCTGGGTGTGAATAGCTATGCCTTTAAAGTTTCACTAATTAGCATTTCTGAGGTTATGCTGTTAGTAGTTCTATGGGGTACAAGTTATAAATGAACACAAGGGAGAAAGGGGCTAGTCAACTTAAATCTGTCAGGAGGCAAATTATGTGTTTCCAAGCCATGTAATATTTTCAAATAAGGTAAAAAAAAGGGGGGGAGGGAAGGGAGGGATAGGTGATTTTAGGAGATGATTCAAATTTTAGACAAAATATTCTGGAAAAAATGACAGCTTCTGAAGGTAAGAGGAAAAGAATAATGGTGGGGGGCCTCTGAGAGCTGAGTAAGGCCCAATAGCAGACACAAGTATCCCTCGGAATTTCATTCCTGGGCTGATTCACCTTTCAAACATCCTGGAATTCAAACCAGAACTAACATTTAGAGAAGAGCTGTGAACTTCAGGGTTGAGAATCTTCAACTAATAATTCATAAAACCTGAATTCAGGAAGAAACGATAAAAACGGATGGAAGCAGTATAATAATTCAACGAAAACTTGCAAATGATAAAGAAAAACCCTCTTGTAAGTAAAGGTGGTTCACTTACTGCAGCATCAAAGTCAAGGACTTAATTTTAACCACTTCTCTGTTACTGATTTTTGGTGGTTGTGGATAAGAGTTGTCTGTATATAAAAAAATATTTAAAAAAAAAAAAGAGTTGTCTGTATGTTTCCTTCTGGATGTATAAATTCTAGATCAGAACTGAAGACCAGGAACCAGAAGTGACAACCACAGGGTCTCATGCTTGGTTTTAATGTTTTGCTGGCACTATCTTGAAATTCTTCGTAACTGTTGAACAGGAGACCCCACATTTTATTTTGCACTGAGCACTGCAACTACGTAGCTGGTTCTGATTCAAACACACAGAATCTCCTAACTTTGGGCAAATCTATTATTCTTTGACCTCAGTTTTCATCTCTATAATGGGAGAGCAGGTTTATAGTATACTCTTTTGATATTACAACCCAAGGATTTGGTGGCACAAGTAATCTCCACTTCCCAACGTATGAAACCAACCTACTTCACGCATATGCAAGTCACTTTTCTGGCCTCTGAAGGCAAGTGAATTTGCAACTCCCAGATTAAAAGATTTATAACAGCTGTTTCAGCTCTAAAACTCCTCTGTTAGTAGTCAGTGATCAGGCAATTTTTATGTATAATAAAAACTTTATGGAAGTCATTGGAATTCTTTTTTTTTTTTTTAAGATTTCATTTATTCATTTGACAGAGAGAGACACAGCAAGAGAGGGAACACAAGCAGGGGGAGTGGGAGAGGGAGAAGCAGGCTCCCCGCCGAGCAGGGAGCCCGACGCGGGGCTCGATCCCAGGACCCTGGGATCATGACCTGAGCCGGAGGCAGACGCTTAACGACTGAGCCACCCAGGCGCCCCAGTCATTGGAATTCTTATAATCACTTAATGTACCTACATTTTATTCCCTCACTAAATTGACCCAGTTTTCCTAAGATCTAGGTTCTAATACAGGACACCAATGCCTCCATCATTTGAATAACAATTTGTGATGAATAATTACAAGACAGAGTTTATTTCCACAAAATATCTGCAGGAAGCAAAATTTTCAAGCATTCTGCCACATGCATAACTTTTTTTATTTGTGTAGTTTCATATAAGTTACAGTTTTAAATGGTGTCTAGCTACAGTCTCCTGATGGATAGCCTCCACCAACTTCCCACTAAAATACCTATAAAACAAGAGGTAAATAAAGGTGCATGCAACCACAAAATAGATACATATATAACCTTCAACCTACTGCAAGAATCAGAGAATTTTACAGCAGAAAACAAACAATAAAATTAGATTTTTAAAATGTAATTCAAGGCAGAGAAAAGCAAGCTATGAGTCCTGAAGGAAGTAGGAAAATCTTAGCGTATCTCCCTTTCTCTGCTTTCTACTATCTCGGATACAAATGCAACAATCTGTATGGTCAGAAACCTGTTCTCCATCATGAATGAGGCTTTTTGGGGCATGAGGAGAGTCCCCCCACCCTCTCATTTAGTGACTGCTACTTTTAAAAGGTAAGTGGGGAGAAAGGGAAATATGTAGCGCCCTGGGGTTTCAGTTGCAGAAAAGCAGATTTAGAGACAAGATGATTTATGGTGGCATATATTCTGGGTGTTGGAGTCGTTAAATAATCCATATAAAGAGTATGAAGAACAAGGCATTAGCAATTGCTGCTTTATATGAAACTCTTCTAGACCACTGAAAATAGGCCAGGGCCTGCAAACGTCAACTGCTACAAGGTCTGAGATCTAAGAGGACTTTTACTAAGCAAACAAGAGGACGACAGAGAGAGGGTGGGACCCAGGGCAATCCACACACTCTCTCTGTGAGTGGGTCTAAATGGATATTGCCAAATTCAGGAATGAAAATAAGAGCTAAATGTTCACATAGTTCTACCAAGAAGTAGTGCATAAATATGGAAAGAAAAGAGCATCCTAAAGAGTCAAACAAAGACCTGTCTCCTAAAAACAACTCCCTAGAGGAACCAGATGTAATTTTTAGAAAAGTATTTGGCATTGTTAGTACGATACAAGAAGACATGTCCCTTAAAGGCCAAAGTAGAAAGCCATAATCAATAAAGGACTACTGGGTATGATAAAAAGAGAATCTAAGTGAAATAAAGAAGCAGTACAATGATTCTAAAAATGAAGTGACAGAATATTACCCACATGGGGGGAGAGAGAAAAATGGAGATGTGTACCATGTAAAATTAAATCATTGATGTAGAAGACAAACACCCCCATAGGACCAGAGAAAAGAACCAATAGATAAAGAAGACTAGATCTGAAGGACCAGAAAAATCAAGTCTAATTATAGTTGTTTCTGAGAAAACACTACTGGAGAACTGAAATAGAATAATCAAAGACAGTAAAAAAACAAAATCTGAACAGAATAAAAGAGGACTAAATTGTATTCCAAATAATATCAATTCAAAGCCGCATTCTGACAAAAGTTTTGAATCCTTGGGTTAAAATAAAAAAAAGAAAAAATCTTCAGTACCAGGCATAAAAGCAAAAACAAGTCAACACAAAAATCAAATGGAAGTAAGTCACCATCAAAGAAACAAATGTCCAATTGGTCTTAAATTTCTCCTCTGTATTACTAACCTACAAAAGAAAGAGAAGACTCAATCAGAGCTAGCCACTGCCAGCCAAACTGCCTTTCACTTGTGAAGGAATAGGAAAAGCAGTCTCGCATAGTCCAAAGTTCTGAAAATACAGTGCTTATTAACCTTTACTAAAATATTCCTTAGCTTAATTCCAACCCATCAAAATACAAATAAAAATTAAGAATTCAAAAAGCCTAATTTTGGAATAAAAGGACTAGGGTTAGCAACATAAATAACTGCCTTAAATTTCATGGCCAAATTAAATGCTATCGCCCTTCAGGGACAATGTAATTAATATAAAATATTTAACAATAACCAGGGATAAATCCTTAGATTATACTAATGAAAGGAGGGGATGGAGAAGGGAAGCATTAAAGTTATTCGTACAGAGACATTTCAAAAGACACTGTTGTTATGGTAATAATAGAAATATAGTTAGGAAGGTTTTCTTTTTTTTTTAATTTTATTTTATTATGTTATGTCACCATACATTACATCATTAGGTTTTTTTTATTCTTATATTAATCCCCATACATTACATCATTAGTTTTTGATGTAGTGTTCCATGACT